GTGTAACGGGGCCTCCGCCTGCGGCCGCCGGGTTCCGCCACCGGCTGTTTCCTGCTCCCAGGGAGGAGCGAGCGCCCGTTCCCTCTCTGCGGGTCCCGGGGCCGGCGGCGCCATGGACTTGGCGTATGTCTGCGAGTGGGAGAAAAAGCCGAAAAGCAACCACTGCCCGTCCATCCCCTTGGTGTGCGCCTGGTCCTGCCGGAACCTCATCGCTTTCACCACGGACCTCAAAAATGAGGAGGAAAAAGGTACGGGGGGCTCGCGGGAGGTCGGGCCCCGGCTGCTGGGGACTCACCGCGCCTTCGGGCCGGTCCTGCCGTCAGGAGCTGCCGGGGCAGGTGGCCCGTGCTCTGCTGGGACCCGAAAATCTCCCACCTGCGCTGATCAGCACAGGAACCTCGTGCTCTTTTCCTTCCATTCCTTAGATTTAATGACTTTTGTTGGCTGGGCAGCGGTTCTCGCTCTGCCAAACCAAGCCAAGCTCTGCGCTGGCGTCTGGCACCTTGCTGGAGTCGCCACGCGCACTTGTTCCCCTTCCCAAACTTGCTTGATGGAAAAATATTTTATGTCTTCCCCTGCACGAGCTGGGGCTCTGGGGGGCTGGAAATGCCAGCTGGGGACGAGGGACGGTGATTCCCTTATTCTTCGTGCAGACCTCACCCATATGGTCCATATCATCGACACCGAGCACCCGTGGGACGTCTACTCCGTTAACTCTGGCCACGCTGAGGTCATCACCTGCCTGGAGTGGGATCAGTCGGGTGAGCTTCAGCCCCTGCAGCTGCCTCGCGGCCCGCTGCCGCTGCCAGGCATTTCCTGGCGCACGGTTTGTCGTGGGGCGGGAGCGTGTCTGTGAGTTGGCTGTGGCCATGCCCGCCATGCAGGACGGGGGGATTGGCTCCTCGGTGATTTTTTGGCTGCACCCCCTGGTTCTCATGAGGCGCCGTTGTCGCAGGGTCCCGGCTGCTCTCGGCAGACGCAGACGGGCACATCAAGTGCTGGAGCATGACCGACCACTTGGCCAACAGCTGGGAGAACACGGTGGGCAGTATGGTGGAGGGGGACCCGGTGGTGGCCCTGTCCTGGCTGCACAACGGCGTGAAGCTGGCGCTGCACGTGGAAAAGGTTTGTCCCGGCGGAGGGTGTCCGGGCAGGAGGGTGGCTTGGGAAACCCCCGTCATGTTCCTCTGCTCTGGATTTCCTCCATGGCTGGGGGCAAGTTGAGCAGGGGAATTTTTCCAGTCAAAAAGTCAGACTCCTCGTTCCTGCTGAATGTCAGCGGGGGTTGGATGGCCCTTGTTTCTCTCGGCACTTTAAATGTGTCTTCCTTAGTCTGTGCTTCAATTCTCTTGGCTGTAAAACGAAGATAAAAGCGTTTCTTTGCCTGCCAGTAGTAATTCAGAAGAAACGCTTTCAGGGTGCCGAGGTTTGATTCGGGGATTTGGGAAGAGTAGTCGTGTGTGTATGGAGATAAGCTCCTTGTTTAGAAACGTGTCAAATTCTGTCAAAAAGAGCAAGTATGCCAAGCAGAAGTTACCTACTCGGGTTTTTCTAAACATTAACTCTTAGGGTGTCCCACAGAGCCTTTCCCTCTGCAGCACTGCAGAACCCGAGGGTGGGGTGTAAAGGGTCGTGCAGCGGGTTGGTGTCGGGGCTGGATTGGCCCCAGAAAGGGGGGGGGGGGTTCGGTCTTCCAGGTTCAGCCCCCGCAAGTGGGGACCCTGTGAGCACGTTGTGGCTGTCGGTGCAAGCGTCTTTGTGGTGTTGATCTTCCCTCGCAGTCCGGGGCGTCCAACTTCGGTGAGAAGTTTTCCCGGGTGAAGTTCTCGCCGTCGCTGACGCTGTTCGGTGGGAAGCCCATGGAGGGCTGGATCGCTGTGACCATCAGCGGGCTGGTGACGGTCTCTCTCCTCAAGCCCAACGGGCAGGTGCTGACATCCACGGAGAGCCTGTGCCGCCTCCGCTGCCGCGTGGCCTTGGCCGACGTCGCCTTCACTGGGGGAGGGAACATCGTGGTGGCCACCTCAGATGGCAGCAGCACCTCCCCTGTCCAGTTCTACAAAGTGTGCGTCAGCGTGGTGAACGAGAAATGCAAAATAGACACTGAAATCCTGCCTTCCCTCTTTATGCGCTGCACCACCGACCCTGCCCGCAAGGACAAATACCCGGCAATCACTCACCTCAAATTCCTTGCTCGGGACATGTCGGAGCAGGTGAGCATCTGCTCTTAAAGCGACTGGGAGTTGAGTGAATAGCAAGGAAGTATCTGTGTGCTCCACCTTTGGCTTCCCCGCGTGGTTCTGGAGGTGAACGGCCGTGGCCCGCGGTGCCCTTGGGCTCTGGCTGCTGTTCCTGGACGTGCTGCTGCTTCAGCTTCGCTGTCGGGCGGCTGCGCTGCAGGGGGAGGAACGGCCGGGCCCTCCAGTGCCTGGGAAAACAGCCCGACAAGCCCCGTCCTTCCTTAGCCTGGTGATGCTTCACTTGGTTCATGCTCTGGGTCTGGCCCTGGTGTCAGGGGAGCTCTGCCAGGCTGCCCGGGAGCCTCTGGGCTGTGAAATCTTTCATCTTTGGGTCTCAGCTTCAAAGCAGCCGCTCTCGGACCGCTTCGAGCTCTCGAGCTGCGTGACCCGATTTAGCAATATCTGTTTACTGGGGATTGACCGTATGGGTCTGGAGAGCAAAGGGATTCAGCGAGCCCAACCTCTCCTCTCTCTCGTGGTTAGGACGGAGGTGGTGGGGAGCTCGGGGCCTGCTCTGCCTTCAGAGGCCCTTCGGGTCCCCCCCGACGCTTTGTGTTGAGCCGGGAGGCGTGAGGGGGCGCGGGCTGGGGAGAGGAGAGGTGGCTTGTGGTGTGGAGAGGCCCAGGCTGAGGGTGCCAGGCAGGGCTCTGCCTCTCTCCTCCCGCTGAGCTGGGGGCTTCGCCGTCACCGGCTGCCGATGGGCTCCTCTGCTCTTCCCGCGTGGGGGATAAACTGCCTGGGAGGAGGGGCGGGGGGGCGGGAAACGCGAGGGACAGAGTCCTTCCCTGCCAGGAGGTTTGGGCCAGTAGTTGCAGGGGGGTTTCTGTTTCGCAGGTGTTGCTTTGTGCCTCCAACCAAAACAGCAGCATCGTGGAGTGCTGGTCCCTGCGGAAGGAGGGTTTGCCAGTCAATAACATCTTCCAGCAAATCTCTCCTGTGGGTGAGTTTCTGTGCTGGATACTCTGGAAAACAGGACCGTGGTCTCAGTGAAAATGCAAGACAGGTTCTCGAATCCATTATCACATCCATGGGATGATCCAGAATCCTGTATTTATTTTTCAGGTGTTCTCAGTCACATGCTCTGTTCTGTCTGTTTGCATCTTGGGCAACAAATTGCTGGTTTCCAGGAAGTGGCTTGATTGTTACTCTCACTCGATAAAAGACATTTTCTGTGTTGTGCTTCCTGCTGAGAGCCAAGCGAGCCTTCCAAAGGAAAAAGATCGTGCAGCAAAGTCAGTTTAGTCGAGCTGTCCTGTCTGAGTGGTTTTTCCACCTGATTTCAGATATAACAAAATCAAATTATGCAGTTTGTTCCAGTGAAATATGACAGATTACTGTGTGTAAGGATTTTTTTTTAATCACCACCAGCAGAGCCTTCCATCAAAAGAGATTTAGCAAAACAAGTTGTTGTTTGTACAGTTCAGAGAAAAAATAGGGAAATAAAAGGGAAATCTACTGGTCTGGCAGAGCGAACAAGTCGTGCTTGATCTGTAATCCCACTTAGCTGGGGAGTGTGTGCAGAAACTGGGGGGGATATTTCCTGATCTCTTTGGGGAGAGAGGTCTCACCTATTTACTTATGTTTCGAAGTTGGAGACAAGCCACCCATGATACTGAAATGGCGGATTCTGTCTGCCACCAACGACCTGGATCGGGTCTCGGCCGTGGCTCTGCCGAAGCTGCCAATCTCCCTGACCAACACTGATCTGAAGGTGGCGAATGACACCAAATTCTTCCCCGGATTGGGTAAGGAGTTTTTATTGTCTTTCTCCTAAAGCTTCTGCCTGAAACGCTGCCTCTGTCATCTTCTGAACTGTCGCTGAAGTAAGAATTCAGAGCAAACCATGTGAAACACTGCTAGGGAAACTTTCACAGACGTGGTACCTCCCAAACCTCCCTGGGAAGAGGCACGTGTCTGAAACGCCTCGATACGAACGTGCCTGTGAGCCCGCAGCCCCCACTGCTGCCCCGTGGGCTTCTAGCGGCAGCAGCTTCTCTGGTTGTACCCGGAGGAGGCTCCCGCACGGCCTCAGTTCTCGTCTCTCCCCAGGTCTGGCTCTGGCTTTCCACGACGGCAGCGTCCACATTGTTCACCGCCTGTCCTTGCAAATGATGGCCGTCTTCTACGGCTCCTCCTCCCAGCGCCCGGTGGACGAGCAGACGATCAAAAGGCAGAGAACTGCTGGGCCCCTGGTCCACTTCAAAGCCATGCAGCTCTCCTGGACGTCTCTGGCCTTGGCCGGCGTTGATAATCACGGGAAGGTACCGGCCTTCGCCACGGGGAGCGCGTGTGCTGCCGGCTCAGCCAGCCTCTCCCTTGCTCTGGGAGGCAGCGGGTCCGTTCCGACTGTGTGATCGTGTTAAACAGGAATCCTTGGGTCGGGGACGAGCCGTGGTCGGCCCTGGGTTGCGTCACCCCTTTGTGGAGCATTTTCAATCCACGGATTCCCCTTTCTACCCTCCCCCCAGCTGAGCATGCTTCGCATCTCCCCCTCCATGGGCCACGTGCTGGACATGAACATGTCCCTGCGCCACTTGCTGTTCCTGCTGGAGTACTGCATGGTGACCGGCTATGACTGGTGGGACATCCTGCTCCACGTCCAGCCCAGCATGGTCCAGAACCTGGTGGAGAAGCTGCACGAGGAGTACATGCGCCAGAACGCGGCGCTGCAGCAGGTCGGCTCCGCCTGCCCGGGATGGGGTGGTCCCCGGGGACGGGCGGTTCCGCTCGGGCCCCGTGGCAGCCGTGCTCAGCGCCACCATGATGGGTCGGTGGAAGCCTCGGGGGGGTGATGCTGCCTGGTTGTGGCGGCGGCTCTGGGGGCGGCAGCGCCGTTCTCGTGGCAGAATCGGAGAGGAGAGAATAAAGCAGCTGCTTTAATGAGCTTATTCTGATTCTGCCTTTCTTCCGCGCGCTCCCCGGTGGCTGTCGCTCAGGTCCTCTCCACGCGCATCGTGGCCATGAAGGCGTCTCTCTGCAAGCTCTCCTCCAGCACCATAGCTCGCGTCTGCGACTACCATGCGAAGCTCTTCCTGATCGCCATCAGCTGCACCCTCAAATCCCTGCTGCGCCCCCACTTCCTGAACACCCCAGACAAGAGCCCCGGGGACCGGCTCACCGAGATCTGCTCCAAGATCACGGATATAGGTGGGGATCACTCGTAGCATGGGGTGCTGCACTCCCAGTGCTTCAGCTCAGACCCTTCCCCTTTTAGGGTCGATCCAGAATGTCGCTTCTCATAGCACCTCCCTGGGCTGGAGGAGGAGGAGGGTGACCCCTCCTCGCACCGCAGGGAGAGGGGCTGAAGGTTGGATGCACCTTGCTGAGCCTGGAGATGTCTTGCTTCCGTTTCAGACATTGACAAGGTGATGATTAACCTGAAGACAGAAGAGTTTGTCCTGGAGATGACCACGTTGCAGTCCCTGCAGCAGCTCATCCAGTGGGTGGGAGATTTTGTGCTCTACCTGCTGGCCAGCCTCCCGAACCAGGTGAGAGGGTGGGTCCTGCCCACAGCCTGGGGAGCAAAAACCGCCTGCATGCAGTGCTCGGGTGGCTTCAGCCGGGTCACCTGCGAGCCCGGTGCTCCCGCTGAACACGCAGGACGTGGGAGAGGAGTGTCGGAAACAACAGAAACACAAAATGCTCCTCTCTGTGCCCGTCTGGGCATTGGTGGTCACACGGCTTGCTCAGCCCTGCGAGGAGCCTCAGCACGGCGCCGCGGGCTGGGCAGCGCTGGGAGCACGGGGTGTGAGGGCGGGGCGGCAGCACAGGGCAGTGGGTGCTCAGCAGCAGCGGGTGCCCCGGGGGCAGTGGGTGCTCGGCAGCAGCGGGCTCTCCCTCTCAGGGCTCCCCGGTGCGACCGGGACACAGCTTCCTGCGCGACGGGGCGGCCCTGGGCATGTTCCGTGAGCTGATGGTGGTGATCCGCATCTGGGGGCTGCTGAAGCCGAGCTGCCTCCCTGTCTACACCGCGACCTCCGACACCCAGGACAGCATGTCCCTCCTCTTCAGGCTCCTGACGAAGCTCTGGCTGTGCTGTGAGTGCCGGTTCCCCTGAACAGAAGAACCCTTCCTCCGTGTGGATCGCGTGTGAAAGGAGTAATTGTGGGGAGTGACTTCTGAGCGGGTCTGTGGTGTTTGCAGAGGGCGAGTGCAGCTGCCAGGTTTATTGTTCCTGCGCTGTGTTGGCGGATGGAGGAGGAAATGGAGTTCTGGTCTCTGAATGAAAAATAGGAGGATCACGCTGCTTCTCTTTTTGCTTCGTTTTCTGTGCAGGTCGTGAGGAAAATCACATAACGGAGCCCGATGACACCCTGATAGACGAGTGCTGCCTCCTGCCCAGCCAGCTGCTCATCCCCAATATCGACTGGCTGCCCATCAACGACGGCATCATCAGCAAACTGCAGAACAAGCAGCTGGTCCGGCTGCAGTTTGGGAAGGCTCCTGGGCTCATCGGTCACACCCTCTCCTCCCAGTTTGATGCCTTTGTCAGGTACAGAGCCCTCAAAGGGTAAGGTGGAGAGGGGAGGGGAGAGGCAAGGTGAGGGGAGAGGCAAGGTGAGGGGAGGCTGGCGGGAGGCTTTGGGCTCTGCAGCTCTGAGGAGTTGCTGGGTTTGGGTCACCTGAGTCATTTGGCTCATCCACTTGCTGCTGTGTCCCAAGAGCAGTTTGTCCTCTCTGCCTGAATTCATTTTTTAACTCACGAGGGGCTGGGAGTTCAAAGTGTTGAAAAGAAATGGCAAAGGGAGGGGGAAAATGTGTTTCTTTGTGATGGGAGTTGTGTCAGCGTGGCCTTGGGTGCACTGGGTAGCCCAAGCCTGGGTCATGCTGGCCACTGAAGCTCACTCTCCTGAAAACAGCTTTTAGAAAGCGATATCCTAGAAAAGTTCCCATTTTTCTGCCTACCCAGGGCGCCTGGACAGCCCAAAATTGATCACCTGAGACGCCTTCACTTAGGCGCATACCCAACGGAGGAGTGCAAGTCCTGCACCAGGTGAGCTGCCGCGGTGCCGAGGAGCAGACGCTGTCCCTTGGCCTCGGAACCTCCCTCGGTCTCTGTTCACCGTCCCGCAGCCGTCCTGGTACCACCTTCCATCCGCTGTGTCTGCAGGAGGAGACTCTGCTCCTCTGACAGGCCATGGGTGTGCGGCGCCGCCCTGGTTGTGTTCAGGACTTTTCTAACCTGGACATCCCGGGTCCTTAAAATGCTCGTTGAAGAGCAGCGTCGCTGTCTCGAGTCAGCATGGCTCTTAGGTTAAAACATTATTACTTTGTCTAGTGCAAAGTAACTCCAGAAGAGCCTGGACTTCAGAATAATGGTGCAGGGAGCAAACACCCATCTAATCATGTGATTGAATTAGCTTTAGTTACTGGTTTTGGTAGAAAGTCTCTTTAGCAGATCCTTTCCCAGGGGGACTGGCTGCTGGGGTCTGTGTCAGCCGGGGCTGCTCTGGGCCTCTGGGCCAGGGTCTCCTCCGGTAACTGCTCGGTGGTTTCACCTGCTTTTTAGTGCTCACAGACGTCACCTGCAGATGGGAGAAGCCAGTTTCCTCCCCAGATTCCCTGTTCGCTGCGTGATCCGTACAGACCCCCCAGCGCTGGTGGCTTTTCTCTGGGGCTCTGGGTCCCCTGGCCCCGCCTGACCCCTCTCCCTTCTTGCCAGGTG